AAATCCAAACTAGTCCTGATTCACGGTGTTGATGAGCTCATACGTGCCACAATACTTATCTAATTTCAGTAATAACTATTTCATACTGGCCCAATTTTTTTACCTTACAGTCAGAATTCCAAGTTTTTTTAGTCATACAATTGGAAATCCAACCTCATCAACCGGTATGTGGCGAGATAAACTAGGCCATATTTTATTTTAGAAGCCATAACTGCCTGGATTTCCAGGATTTTTTTTTTTCATACTCATCTGGATTTCCAGATTCTGTTTCTCCATATACAGTTGGAATTCCGGGGTATTTTCCCCATCATACAGTGCTGGAAATAAGACCACATCAACACGGCGGTGGGCGGTGGGGTGCAGATATAAACTGGAATGGCCCATTGGCTGAAAAGCCTGTCAACTGATATATCAATTATTAGTTTGTTTGGTGTGTTTTCATAATGCAACAAATCCTATCTTACGATGAGATAATGGTGAAGCATTTGATCACAAATAACAGATTTTATTCTTTTTAATTCTTCTTTATATTCAATAAAACAGGAAAAAAACTCACCAAGCATAAATTTCATATTAATAATGTTGAACTTGAAACAGTTTGTAATTATTCCTACCTGGGAGTCAAATTAAGTAGTTCAGGCAAGCTCCATAAAGCACAAGATGATTTAGCAAATAGGGCTTTGAAAGCATGTTTTAAAGTAAAACAACTATTACACAGTGACATAAATATCCCCGTTAAAACATATCTAAAAATGTTTGACTCTATTATTAAACCAGTTTTACTGTATTGCACTGAGATCTGGTCAAGTGACAATATTAAATCAAAACAAAATATTTTCAACCCAGCAAAAAAAAATTCACATTAAATTTTGCAAATTTTTCTTAAAAGTAAATTGCAAATCATCTAACATAGCATGCCTGATGGAGTTGGGTCGGTACCCTCTCATTGTTACTAGTACAATTCAGATGGTAAAATATTGGATAAAAATACAGTGGCCCCTCGCTAAGTCTCGGGTGTCGGGATCCAAGCAAAAACCGCAACTTATCGAGGGCCGTGACTTACCGAGGGACCTCGTGAAAGAGGGGGGGGGGGGTCATGCATTGAAAAACATATAAAAAGCACATATAAACCCTCAGTTTAGTTAATTGATGTATCATCATATGTGTTAGGCAGTATTTGAATAAAATCATGAATATGTTTGCTGTAAACACTTCAGTGATGCGTTGTTTATTTTGTTTGTGTCCGATAGTATGTGGGTCATTTGCTTTTGCTTGCGACTTCGACGGTAACAGCTTCCAAAATGAACCAGTCTCATCGCAATTATAAACTTGTTCGTCAAATTAACCACCTTCATAGATAATTTCTCTCAGTTTTTTGGGAAAAATTCTGACAGCGCCCATGTTCGCAGATCGAGCTTCGCCTTGGATTGAGACTGCGTGTATAGCATGTCTTCTTTGCCATCGCTAGAACCACCCTGAACTGGCCTCAAATTCGAGTTGCGTGCTTTGCATTGGGTGATGGGACCAGAGAGTGGAGTTCCGGCAGATCGTTCCTGAAGAAATGTAAACAGCTTTATCGATGTCACCATTGTCGGACAATTTCGCACATTTTTCTGTTCAGTCCCGCCTCTTGGTAAACTTTGAAAACAAATTTACTCTTCATTTTTTACCCACTGCTAGATCACGTGCAACCC